TCAATCTGCCCAGTCTTGATTTTTCCCCCCTAAAATAGTTAAGAAAAGGAAATTCCAGAAATGTTAGACATAAAATCAATTTGGGAGTGATGACACATGGCCCATGCTGGAAATGGTGGGAAAACGAATATTCCATTTTTGGAATTGTATTAGACTATTTAGCATGAAATAAGAGAGTTCTCTGCTCAAATAGTGGGATTGAAACCTCAACATCAGAAGAGTTTGGAGGAAGAATGTAATCTTTAAAGTAACAGAGGAATTGCTGTCCTAATGAGAATGTGTGACATTGGTCTGAAATTATTAACTTACATTTGTTTATAATTCCTAGCCCTTTTAAATGAAATTATAGTGAAAATAGGCCATTTTGGAGAATTATGGAGAAGTTTTTTTCATTGGGAATTAGAAGGTCTATTTCTTTTTAATTTTGCTGAGAGTTAAAACAAATACCACCCTACTAAAATTGATGATGAAGGAAACAGAACTTTATTATGATTAGATTGCAGGTGTAGAAGCTATATTAGCAGACAAAAAGAAATACTATCTAGAGAAATTATGGGATAGACAAGGTATTGAGATTGGTAGATGGAAAATAATTCTAGTTTTGGAATGTCAGGAGCAATGGGGATAGTTGGGGAAGGTGTCTTAGTAGGAGTGATAAAAGATAAGAGAATTTTGAATTAGGGGAAATTTAAAAGTATGAATCAACAGAAGAGCCCAGTGTTAGGGCTATCTAGCAAGCCATTTATGAAATTTAAAATTTTTTATCAGCCACATTTAAAAAGTAAAAAGATATAGTTGAAATCAATTTTAGTAATGTTTTACTTAAACCAATATGTCCAAATATTATTTCAGAATTAGTCAATATAAAAATTTTTAATAAAATATTTTACATCTTTTCATATTTAGTCTTTGAAATACAATGTGTGTTTTTACCCTTCCAGTACATCTCAATTCAGACTGGCCATATTTTAGGTGGTCAATAGCCTCATGTGGCCAGTGGTGACCATATTCAACATAAAATCTCTAGAGAGTTGAAGAACAGACTTATGTGAAACTGTTGGGGGCCAAAGAGCTTTGAATTGGGGTGGACAATGAAGTCCTCCATGTATTAGGAACAATGGAAAGAAGACAGCGGGAAGATCTAAATGACAGGAAAAAGAATTCTGAAAGGGCAGTGATGACCTTGCTGTGTGTGAAGGTGCATGTGAGCTCTGACTGAGAGTAATCGAAGCTAACTTGAAGGTGTGGTGCAAATACACATCACAGAAACGACAGGTGAAGATGATACTATACGCGGGTGCTAGGGAGATGATGAAAAGAGCCGTCTGTTTGGAAAAATGAAAACTTTAAATTGGGGGTGGCTAGAGCAGTTCAGGGAGGAGAGGGTTGGAGTGACTGAAAATAAATACTTAAGAATTGTGTGGGATGGTTGATATTCTATATATTACTGTTGGATGGGTGATAAAAATATAGTGAGCATGTTGAAGAAAAGAAAATATTTGTAGTTGAGATGATGTAGACAAGAAAATATAAGAGACAAATCTGGGAGCTGGCAGTGTGGTGAACATTATTTTTAAAAACTGAATGGAAAAATATTTGCTAATTTATGAATAGAGATTGGCAGTAATAATGAAAATCATGCAAGGAGACTAGGAAAACTTCCTAGGAGCACGATATTTGTGCTGATTGCCATAAGCACTTGATTATAGTGAAATGACCATCAATTAATTTCTGAATAGGTATCCATTATGGCTGTCAAAATATATTTACTCATGAGAGAACAACAGGAAATGATAATGTGACATGGAATCAGAGACTTCTGTTAGAAACAGGAGAAAGATTTTTTTTTTTGGCAGTGAGGGAGACCTGGAGTATGTTTTCCTGGAAAGGTTTAGGAAGAACATATAGTGAGTGACTGCTCCACTGACATTTATAGAAAGGCAAATGTTACACTAACTGAATGTAATTGAAGGAACATTTATTTAGGAGTCATGACACATGGGTTCAGTTCTCAACTTGGTCACTCATTAGCTGTTGCAACTTGCATTGGCAAGTTGCTTTGCTCAGTTCAGGGAACATTTATTGTGTATCTGTTATGGGCTTAGTATGAGAAAATCAAAGCCTTATAACTTCTCTAGGGTTCAGTTTCCTCATCTGTAATCTAAAAGCTTTGATTCAGATGATGTTTAATGTTCCTTTCAATTCCATAGACTACAAGGCATTTTTTTTTTCTAGCCTCAGTGTTTGGCATTCTTATCATGGACTCCACAGGTCTCTTCTGAGGGGATCTGTTGATGATGGGTGGGAAAAAAAATTACAGCTAAAATTTGGCACTTCCTTTGATTATGAATGTCGGCCAGAAACCGTAGTAGCTTCAGCAGTACCTGAGATTTTTGTCAT